TACAAACTTTATATTGAACTTTAATTCTTAAATGTAAAAAATGATTGAATTTCTCTATCTTGTATATATTTGACTGTTAGGATTATATTTGAATAACGTTAATAATCTGACTTATGTATTTTTTTTAATTGTTTTAGTTTATTAAATATGTGATAATTTCCATAATAATGTTAATACTATTAAAGTTTGGGATATTAATTATAAACACGAATATGTTTTTTTATTATTATTTATTTAATATATTGATTAAAAATTAAAAATTATAAATATTATTGAGTATTTTTTATATTTAATATATTGATTAAGAAATAAATAATATAATTACTATTAAGTTTGAGTAAAATATTTATTTATAGTATTATATTTATGTATTATGATTATTGATATTTTGTAAACGTTTATAGGTATTATTTTAATTTTTCAATTCTAACCTAGTTATTTTCGCCAATAAAGGACAATTTGGTCAATACACTTTATAACGGTTGTTTCCAAAAACAAATAAAAATAGCCGTTGCTGCCTGGTCTCTGAAACCCTAATTTTCATCTTTCAGCCAGCATTTCTACTATAAATACAATCTCACTTCAAATAAATCTTCATTCCAATCTCTTTCTTTCTCTCTGTTCATTTTCCAGCACTGGAACTCCGGCTCTCTCTGTCATTTTGTTACTAATCACTGCTATCTGATTTTGCTTTGACCAATAATCTGTTTCTGCAGGATTTTGCCTTGTGTTTTATTTTCTTTTAATTTGTGTTATTCTTTATATTGTTTCCTATTCTTTTCCGTTTTTGTTCTTGTTTTCTTCTCCTAACCATGGATGCAGGATCTTTGAGTTCTTCTGGAACCCTCAAGACACGATCACGCTATCCTCTTCAAGAACAGTTTATTCAAAGAAAGAGTTCCAAAGAAAATGTAAAGAAATTATTGCTTGAATTTTCTCCCTGATTGTAATTTGTGTATAGTTTGCATGATTGTGGGGGAGAGAACATTTTGGATTAGGGTTTTGAATCTAAGTCATTAGAAGTTCTAATTTTGTAGAAGTGGCACAGAAAACTTGAAATTAGTTTAATTTTTTAAAAGTTTTTGAATGGGTTTCAAAACTAAAGATGATAAATCTTTATATCTTACTTTGAATTTGTTTATGAAAGAAACCAATGTTTTGATCGTGTTTTTGTTATGATCATCAGTTGGACAGATTCATACCAAATCGGTCGGCAATGGACTTTGATTATGCTCACTATATGCTTACAGACGGGAATAAAGGTAAGGAAAATCCAGTTGGGAGTTCTCCATCTCGAGAAGCCTACAGGAAGCAGCTTGCAGAATCTTTAAACATGAACCGGACGCGAATTCTCGCCTTCAAGAACAAGCCACCTGCACCAGTTGATTTAATTCCCCACGAGCTATCCAATCTTACCCAGGATAATAATAGATCAATCAAGCCTCGGAGATTTATTCCTCAGGTTCAGTACTAAATTCCTCAATTTAATTTTATTCATTCCTCAGTTTGTTAAGCAAGGATTTTGATCCAAGTCGAGTTATAATCTCAAGTTGTGGACCCTTGTTTATTAACTATGTGGAAAACCATTAATTAATTAGATGCATGTGAGATTTTATTTCAAAGTTTTTGCTAATTTTAAAATTTGATGATCACCATCAGACTTCTGAGAGAACTTTGGATGCTCCGGATCTTGTTGATGACTATTATCTTAATTTGCTGGACTGGGGAAGCGGCAATGTTCTTGCCATAGCACTTGGAAGCACAGTATACTTGTGGGATGCAACAACTGGTTCTACTTCGGAACTTGTTACAGTTGAGGACGAAGACGGCCCAGTAACGTCTGTTAGCTGGGCTCCGGATGGGCGGCATATTGCAGTTGGTTTGAACAACTCTGAAGTGCAACTATGGGATACAACTTCAAATAGACAGGTATATCGGTTTATAAAAGCTCCATAATAAACTGTTCATTTACACTTTACTAACAGTGTTATTCATTTTTGCAGTTGAGAACTTTGAGAGGTGGACACAGACAAAGAGTTGGATCTTTGGCATGGAATAATCACGTACTCACAACTGGAGGGATGGATGGTAGAATTATCAACAATGATGTAAGAATCAGATCACATATTGTTGAAACCTACAGCGGACATGAGCAAGAGGTTTGTGGGTTGAAGTGGTCAGCTTCAGGTTCACAATTAGCCAGCGGGGGGAATGATAATCTACTTTACATCTGGGATAGAGCCACTGCATCTTCTAATTCCACAACACAGTGGCTTCACAGGCTTGACGATCATACATCTGCTGTAAAAGCCCTTGCTTGGTGTCCATTCCAAGGGAATCTGTTAGCTACAGGTGGAGGCAGTGGTGATCGGTGCATCAAGTTTTGGAATACCCACACAGGTGCATGCTTGAACTCAATTGACACTGGGTCTCAGGTATGCTCCCTGCTGTGGAACAAGAACGAGAGGGAGTTACTCAGCTCCCATGGTTTCACCCAGAATCAGTTAACGCTTTGGAAATACCCCTCAATGGTCAAGATGGCTGAGCTCACTGGTCATACTTCCAGAGTTCTTTTCATGGCCCAGGTAAATTGATTTATTTTTGGTTTTGTTGAGCACAAATCTGATGAGATTGTTTTTGAGGCTATTGCTAATTACTGTTATTTCGTCAAATATCAGAGTCCAGATGGTTGCACAGTAGCATCAGCAGCTGCTGATGAAACATTGAGATTCTGGAATGTGTTTGGAGCACCAGAAGCAGCATCTAAGGCTGCACCCAAAGCCAGAGCTGAGCCATTTTCAAATGTGAATCGTATACGATAAGCAAGGATATGTAATTGTTCCCACCCACCTGACGGAATTAATTGCACTTATGTACATACCCCTCAATTTTTTTACGTAATTGCTGGCTGGCATCTGGAATAGTTTGTTGTATCCAGTCTAATCTCAAATAAGGGAGGGAATAAACAGTGTCAAGTAAGGCAATTACAGTAGGGGAGAGACAATAATTAAGAGAGGTGAGTTTTTGGGGTTTCCACATGTACATTATTGTAACATACAATCAGTGGAACAAACACTACTTTTCCCGTGGATGTAGTCACAAACATATGTGACGAACCACGTAAATCGTTCTTCTTGTTGTTTCATAGTTTTTTTTTTGTTATATTGTGTAAACTCAGGATAAGAAATATAAATAGCTTTTATAAATAGTGAGCATAGGCAAAACTTTTATAAAAATTTAATATAATATAATATAGCTGTAATTTATAATTCTCGGAGGGCAGTGAAGGGAATCTACACTGTAATTTTATAAATCAATATAATCAAGTTTTAGATACTTTTTGTTTGAATTCTGTGTTTTTAAAATTTTTGTAATTTGAGTTAAATTGCAATTTTTTTATGTCTTCTGATGTGATCAAAGTGAACAAACAGCCATTCTCTCTGTACAAGGGCTTATTTTTATCTAATATGCATGTACTTAACAAGTTTGGTGTTAAGAGTCTCTCAGGGTTCCTCTGTTGCAGTTATTGGAGAGGTCAGACCTTGTTTGAATTTTATGAAGATGTCTTTAGAATAATTTCAAATAATCTTATGTCTTTAGCGAATAAAGTAATCACTGGACATGTACACCCATCAAATTTTTGTATCACAACTTAAGAAAAATGGATACTTGAGATCATTTAGTTCAAAATGTATAATGTATGTCATGATTCCATTCACTTAGTCCTCTGTCCCAGCATTTCAATATTCACAATTCGAATTGATGAATGAACTTCTAATATCTGAAGCACAAATTACTTCACCAACTATATTGTGGTTGGTTCAGGTAAAGCATCCCTGTTATATTGGAGATGTTTTGTGTGGCTCTATTTATTTCAACGGATCCATTTGCTTATGTATGCTTTTCCTTCTGAATTCTTAGTTAGTCCAACTTTAGTAGTTTAGTATATAGATGCTAATCTAGTCTACTTAGTTTTTATTTCAGGTTTAGTGTTTATTTGTTGTTTGTTGTCGTCCCTATATATCCATTTTGCTGATCCAGATTATGGTTTGAATTGTGTTAATACTAATTCCAGTACGGTGATAATGTTTGTGATTTTTCTAAATATTGGTGATTTTACGGAATTGGCTCTTATTTATGATTCTAATCATTTTGCTGCTGTCCCTATAGTAACTTATTTGATTTGCTGATTTTTACTGATAAGTTCTTTCATTAATTTTTTTTTTACCAATTTGCTAACCAGTTATTAATTTTACTTTTTAACTTTGGTTCTGTTTTGAAGGTGTAGGACTGACTTACTACATAATATTAAACTTAACGTTTTTTATCCATGTTAATTTTTTTTTTAACTTTGCTTATTCTACTTTTTTTTAGTTTTCTTTTACTAGTTAAACAAGGTTGTGATAATTGACCTAAATAGTTTGTCAAGGACGTGGGCTTTAGGGTTTATAGGTGTAAGAGTTAGGAGTTAGAGTTTACAGTTATGATTTATGGGATTTTAAGTTTTAGGATTTTTAGTATTAAATTATACAATTATATAATTATAAAATTATAAAATTATAAAATTAATTTCTACCAAATAAAGAAAACAAAACACTACAAGTGATGAAATTAATTTCTACCTAATTTACATTTACAATATTTATTATGATATCAAATACCTTACTATATTTAATGTTCTATTTCATCATTATTTTTACTTTTAATTTTTTGTTTCCTTAATCTTATAATTATGTTTCTTTATTTTTAATTGTTGTTATCTTATATTTATTTAGTTTTGTTATTTTTCATTGTTGATATGTAGCCTTTAGTAATTCTCATATGAATAATATTGATATTTTTAACTTTTAATGTTTAATTGTTAGTTTATTATTATATAAAGCCTTTTAAAGATCAACAATTTGAAATCTAGATTACGTGACATATCTTTTTGAATTTTACTTTATTCTCAAACAAGAACACGAGCAAAATTCTTCACTTATACCATAGCTCAGAAACTGTCTCAGCTAAAGGTAAACATACCATGCATCTGCAACAAGACTCAAGAAAGAGATCACTTTACACACACGTACAATATGAGATACGATGATCATGATCATGATACAGCAAGAGTCCACATATATATATATAGACATACATACACAATTAACATGAATAAAACGCAAGTAGCCAAATTGAAAGGAAAGTTGATTGAAATCAGCTGAAAAACCCAACACAGTTTTCTAAGCAGCGTCCTTTTCGCAACTTAGTACGCTTCCTGATGATCCTCCTGTTTCTTGGGCGTGACGAATTCCACGAATTTCTTCTTTGTCTTGTTTTCGTTGGCTGACCTTTTACTTTGTTGAGGGTGGTATTGCAGATGTTCCCTCTCCGTTACGTATTTCCTTATATGCTCTCTCACGAACCTTTCATACAAGTACGAAGCTCCTTCGAACTGTGGCAACACCAGCCATGCAGCCGTCAATAGCTTCACATCGTACCAAATCGGTATCCTGCAAATCTCATATTCCAAACCATGGTCAACAACATACAAACACATTTTCATTTTCCTTAACTAAGCTTAAACTCACCACGCCAACACAGGTTGAAAAACCATTTCAGCAAGGCTCAGGAACGAATAGATGATCCAATACGCTAGCCATTGTTCGTCATCCAACTTGGACTGGCTCTCTATTGCCACCACCGATGCATACCTAACAATTACCAGAATTTTATAAACAAAGGAAAGTTATCACTGAATTGGTATTGATATACTTACAAAGGGTATAACAAGGTCACGACCGGCCTGAAAAGAACACAAAAAGCTATGAATAATGGTTAAGATATACAAGGCAAATGAATATATATAGCAAGAACAACGTAATGCATACCCAGCAATAGAATGAAGCTGGCTGATCAAAGTCCACAACTTTCCCATGTTTTGGTATTTGGGTATGGTTTTGACGTGAGATTGTGAGTGTAGAATAGGTTTGAGATATGGGAGAAAAGGGCGAGAGAGGAAGGATTATAAAATGGTGATGATGATGATGATGAAGAGAGAGAAGGGGGGGCAAGTATAGGGTTCTGCCTTAAACGTGTCATGCTTAATCTTCCACCGTCCAGATGGAAAACATTTCATCTAAGCCAATGGTATAAATGGCCTAAATTTTTGCGAAGGTTCTTTGTCCAAAGCACAAGCCACGTGCGCGCGCTTTTTAACGCATGCTACTTAGTGACACGTGTCCACTGCACGCTTCTCCGGAATCCTAGATTGTGTTGTTGAGGTTTAGATGACGGTGGAGAAACCGTGGATGAAGGAGTTGCACGCACCTGCCACGTGCTTTGTGTTGGTTTATTTTTGTTACTCCTAAAGTTTACAAATATTTTACTAATTATTATGATTGAATCGAATGTCAGTCGCACTGCCCGACAAAGATGAATGTAGGATCTAAACTTTCTTCCTTTGTTACAATATTTATGTAGTATTTTAAAGATGAAATTTAATTTTTATTAAAGAATATGATTTTTGTTTTTTTTAAGATTTTCTGTCTCATATAGATTCAATACTCTTTCTTTTGGTTAGAGGAAACATGGTAGTGAAAACCCAAAAGGCCAAAATTTTAACCAAATATTGTGTTTCGCATACACCATACACTGCATGACACAAACTGTAAAACTGTTACAGGATTTCAGTCAAGGAAGGCCAATGACAGAACAAAAACATTAGACGACAAAATCAAAGGGCTTCATCTTCTACGTAGTTGACGGCTTGGTCCCAATAATGGGGAACACCGGCATCCACAAAAACTTTTCGGGCAGCTGCTTCAGTGATGCAGTCATGAACAGTGAACCTATTGAAGTTGGGTTTTGCAACACTTCCTTGCCACACAAGAACACACTTATTGGCAGGCTTTTCATCATCTGAATCTTCATCTTCTTCTTTCTCTTTTGAAAAATCACTCCAATTAATGCGTCTAAGCATAAGTTTCCCATACCTCTTAATCGACTTGCTTCCACCTTCAACAACAACAACACTGATACCATCGCAAATCACAGCACGCCCACTCAAACGGTTCTCTTGAGCATTAACATCGACTCTGAAGCGGGCCTTTGGATTTGAGAGGTCATTTATTCTGTAGAGAGAGACAATTGTCTCCACTGTATTTGGGTCATCAAACAGCTTTCTCTGCTTCTTTTCCCGGAGCTCGGCCGGAGTAAGCTTGCGTGCAATATTCCTATCTATGTGAGCTTGCTCACGCTCAGCAGCTGCGCTGCGTACCTCTTTTTCTAGCCGAGTAGGATCTTGAGTTGCTTCAGAGCCAAGTACTTTCATTAAATTGCTAATCTTGACCTTTGGTTTTGGTGGTTCTATGACACCCTGTCTGATCATCTCTTGCCGATCTTTCTCCTTGGCTATTCTCCTTTGTGTCCGGAGTTTCTTCTGCTCTTGCTTAGTTAGTTTGAGCGGTTGAGGTGGTGGAGGAGCGGGCTCAGCAGGTGGTTCAATAGGACGAGGATGATGCACAAGGAAAGTGATATTTTCTATTTTCAGCTTATCCTCACCTATGGTTCCAGTATCAATGTCTCCATAATTTCCAGAATGCACAAGAGGCACGTCCCTGATAAATTCAAATAGTTAACTGAATAAATGTTTACATACAACCCCCAGAGGTACAATGGAACGGAGTAAAAAAGAACCCCCAAGAAAGGCAATAATAGAATCACAAATAGGTACACTATACCAACTATAAATGGTATTTTCATATTTTATATTCAACTAGTACTTAGCAGTCCTATAAAGCATACTTATAACTATAACTATAAATGATATGTGTATCATTTCTGATGTGACTATAACTATCTTTATAAATAACAAAAACAGAAGAACATAAGGTGATAAGTACTGAAACAGGCATATGTAGTGTACATGCTAAATTTTGACTGCAAAATTAGCGACTTTTTGAATAACACCCTTAAATAATCGGTACACTTTAACAAAGACATATATAGATAGCAGTAGTTCAGTTAAGCATAAGCTTACCACCACTCGATGTCTGGAATTTGGTCCTTGGGTTTTTCTTTAATTACAATTCTCTCTGTTATTTCTATTAAGTTGGGATTTATATCAGGAGCAGCCTTTGCCTTTGCCAACTGTGCTTGTTTGGCCTTGTGCTCTTTTGCTTGAGCTTCTCCAAATTTACTCTGCAAGAGTCAAAAATAAAAATAACAGATAACACAAAAGGCAATTGAAAAGAACTACGTTAAAGGTAAATGTACTAGAAAATGGGAGAAGGGTATACCTTCAATTTTATTGTTTCAGCATCTCTTGACCATTTTCCTTCCTCCACAAACTGGAAATTCATCCTCTTGGGTCGCAGGATCTTTGTTTTGTTGATACCCATACTTGCATCAAAATAAGGATTTGATTCGGGATCAACATCCAATACAGGTTGTAGTATTTCAAATGCATCCTTCTTTTGTTTGTTAATGTTGACCTGTAATGTTCAGACAAAGATTCCAGCCTTAGAAAGGAATCCCAAACAGAAAAGAGAAAACTAATAAAAAGAGACAAATAAGAAAGCAGCACACCTTTAATGTGCTAAGGTTGGTGGGCTTGGTCACATTAATAACATTTCCATTTTCATCTATTTCCCGCCCCTGAGCATCAAGTCGAAGAACAGGGGCCTTTGTTGGTTTTTGCAGAATGGCAACATCTGTTACCATCTGACCAGGAAACATATTTATCAGAGGAGCAAATTGTGGATCCGGATGAAATCCCAGCCTAGCAGCAAGCTCTTGAGCCCGCCTGACAGCTTCCAAATTGGGAAGAGTTGCATTTGCAATACCAGCAGCACTAGTGCCACTTGCTGGAGAATTAGCAGAAGCAGCAGGGGGGAAAATTGACATATTTGCAACATGGCCAAAAGAAGCTGAGCTGGAACCTTTTGGCACGACTGCAGAGGCAGATTGACTGTTTGAACCCAAGTTTGAGCTTCCATGTGAATTTTGGGTAGAATTCTTATTCAACTACGTAGCCAAAAGCAGCAATTAATGCATTCAGAGGAATATGAAGAGTTAGAAAAAAAAATGAAATCAGTATCATCAGTCAGCTATTTAAGAGATATGTCCAGCTGACAGTAAGTACTTATTCATAGAAATAACGATCAATTTACCTGAGGAATTTTCTTCAGCTTTTCTGACAACTCTTTCTGCATTTGTAAAGCTTTCTTAGCCTTAGCTAAAGCATCAATCGACAGGCTTCCAGCTTTTCCAGCAGTTGAAGATGACCCATCTGTACTAGATTTTCCAGTAACCTCATGAGACCTGGTAATACTAACGCCCTTATTTTCATTTGTGGTAGAATTCAAAGATACCTTGATAGGAAATGGAGGAGGAGGAGCCAAAGATGTCTCAAGCACACTCATGGGCGCCACAGCAACTGATCCCAAGGCACCCTGAAAGAGCAAGGATAAAATGTTAGTGAATGTGTCCCTCTTCAGGTATTCCAAGAGAAACAATAAAATAGAAGAAACTAGGAAACAGAACTGAGAGAAGTGAGCATGTATAAGCTGAACACAAACAAAAATCACAATGCTGGAAGCATAAGATCACAAACCATCTCTTTTGCAAACCAAATTATCAATAAGGTTTAATCAAACTACATATAATATTGATAGATGGACTACAGGATTCATTTCATAGTCTCAAGTAAATTGGCAACCCAATTCTAGTTCACGAAGCAGGAAGCCAATAACTGGAAATAAAGCCTACAATTTGACATGATGTCTAAACCGGCCCTCTGTACTGGGAAGACTATGAAAGCACACATACTATAATTCAATTATAACCAAGAAAAGTTAAAACAAATGCTGAGCATCATCAAAATGTTAAAAGAAAAACATTAACAGAAAGAAAGAAACTCACGTTTTGGACAAATACAGTGTCTTTGGAAGAAGCTGAGCCATGGGCACCTTCAGTGTCTTCCTCCTTAACCTCTCCCTCATGAATGCCTCTAATATTATTATCACCATCTTTTTCTTCCTCCTTCTTGACTTTATCCCCAAATTTCCTCCGTTCCCTCTTCTCTTCCTTCCTATCGTCAGAAACCCTAATTTTCTTATCCTCACAGTCTTTGTCTTCGCTGTGCTCCCTCTCTTTCCGCTTATGAGAATGTGAGGAGTATCGTGACTCCACCAAATCTTCCCTACCATCATCACGCTTCACCTTTGACCTATCTTTGCCACTCTCTCTTTCGTAAGCTTTGTCCCTATCCTTGCTTCCTTCACTGTCATGAGCCCTATCCCTATCCCTGCTTCCTTCTCTGTCATAAGTCCTATCTCTATCCTTGCTTCCTTCTCTATCATAAGTTCTACCCCTGTCCTTGCTTCCATCTCTGTCATAAGTTCTATCTCTATCCTTATCCCTGGATTTGTGGTCATGCTTGTGTTTTGTATCTGAATGATGATTGTGGTGGTCTTTGGAAACACGATGGTATTTGTCATCACGTTCCAGGTGCCGATCTTTGCTTCTCTTTTCAGGTTTGACTCTATTGTCCATTATAGGATTTGGGAGAAACTTCAAAGCTTTGTAATTTGGGGATCACTTCACCTTAGCTCCTCACCTTGAAAAATATTAAATACGAATTAATGTTCCTCTTCAAAACCAAATCATGTTATTTTAAAGTTTAAATTTAAATCAAATGAAATAATAAGGAAGCAAATAGATGGTATTCTCCTAGAACTAACAAATTTTCAACATCGTGTACTTCAGTGAACTCTTGTCAGTTATACATACTTTGATGAAACTCCTAATAGTAATCAGATTTCTTTTGCAATTATACCTAAACAAGTCAGAGACATCAAAATGAACCAGAACAGAACAGAAGATTTGGAACACAAGTACTGCCAACTTAACCACAAAAAGGTGTGAACCAGAACTACTCATACTTACAAGTTAATAGCCCTTTCATATCAATAGTAAATGTTTTTAGTACATATCCCCATGTGAGATTGTCCTATATCCTATGTATATCAATGCATGTTCCTCAAATTTTTATCACCCAAATGTAGCTAGGTTCAGAAATACTACCAAATACTAGCCCATATATGAAGGAGAACCCATGCACCAATGCCACCGACTTGGAGTATAAGCTAGTTTCAAAACAGTTAGAGGAACCCAGATCATTCGAAATACAGAGGGGAGTATAATAACGAAATCTTATTTACTTGTCAAGGTCCATCTTCTGCGAAAAACAGTTCAGACAAAATTGATCATACGTTGCCTTTTCATCACTACATTTGCACTTCTTGCCTTAAAAACACAGATTAAAGCCAAATATTTAAAGGATGGACCGGAAGACAGACCGGAATTTGACACCAAAACAACTTGAACAAAACAATCAGTTTCATCACGATCAAGTTTTAATTTCTTCCAAATCACAAAAGCTAGTTCGTCTGTTTTCTTTTCCACAAAAACCGGTCCTAACGAAAAGGGAAAATAACTACATATGCTGATGTTCTGCCCATCAAGATTCTCGACGGCAAATTTAAAATATCTTACAGTGAAATAATTAAAAAAAATAAAAGTAGCACAGGAAGTTGAGAGAAAGTGTTTACAGATTCGTGGGCAGATTGAATTGATTGTGAAAGCCACAAAGTTACTCTTAACCCATTCGGGTCCAAACCTAAGAGCGTCAATTTGGTGCGCTATGTTTTTCCCCGCTTCCTTCTTCTTCCCTTGCTACAACTTCTCACTCATGGTACCACTCTAAGGCAAAGCAATGAACAACCAACAGATCTAGGGTTTTACTTCAAAGTTCTTGCCTTTTAAGTATTTGCCGAAAAGGGTCTATTCTCCTCCTATTTACTAAAAAACCCATTCAATTTTAATTTTCTTTTTGTGATAAAGATTTGTTTTTTACATAGCTGTCTGTTTTTTTTTTATACAGAAAAAATATATTTTCTTTTGGTACAGAAAAATATGTGTGATTTTGTTGGATAAGATTACTATTCCCAGAGGAAGTAAGACAATACAAGAGGCCTTGAATACACAGTTAGCATCAACACTTTACAGTCCTAGGATGGCTTGAGACCATACACTGAGGTTGTCTGGTGTCTTCATTTCCACCACCAGTTAAGTATTATCTATTCTCAGAATAAAATAAAACCAAAACTCCTTGAACACCATAAGAAAATAAAAAGAAAAGGAGAAACTTTTTCATCTATACATTTTTATTGTTCAGAGCAAACGTGTGTGTTTGTTTGGTGGTGAATTCCTATCCACACATCTCACCGGAAACATGTCAGCGGTGGTTGCCGGTTCCTCCACTTCATTCTCAGCCACCTTCACCACCAGGAGGAGTCCCTCCTCAAAAAACTCTCACCTCACACACTCCAAGACACTCGCTCCTCCTCAATGCCAGGTACTGCTACTGCTACTTTTTCTTTTTTCTTACCATAAATTATTACATGATTCAAAATTACAATGGTCTCATACCAATTTCCGCACAGCACGAGCAATTGAGTGTACTTAACTATATTTTGTAAATTGATAATCTCAAAAACTTGTTGTGTGGAAAATGGTCAGAATCATGGATATGTGGTAGTACAAACACTTCTACCTTGCAGAATAACAAATTGAAATCATTTTGCTCCTGTATCTGCAGAAAACATCGTTACAAGGTCTCTCACTTCATGAAGCCAAAAGGGGTGTTTCAGAATCCTTCCTTGGTGAGAAAAAGAATGGTTCCTCGATCAGTGGGAGGAGACTTGAGATCGCAGCAAAAACTGCTGGGGCTTCAAAGACAATTGAGGCGGAGGTTGACAAGCCTCTAGGCCTCACCTTGGGCCAAAAGTCTGGTGGGGGTGTTGTCATCACTGTTAGTATCTTGCTCCCTTTCACAATGATAATGGAATGATTCCAATTTGTGAATGAGAATTTGTTCATGGATGCTGCTTGTCTTCTATAGGCTGTTGATGGTGGTGGGAATGCAGCAAAAGCAGGGCTAAAGTCAGGGGACCAAGTTCTTTACACTAGCAGTTTCTTTGGAGATGAATTGTGGCCTGCAGATAAGCTTGGATTTACTAAAACCGCAATCCAAGCAAAGCCTGATTCTGTCTACTTTGTTGTCAGCAGGTTCCATTGTCCACCTTTGTTCCATTTATTCTTCTTATTTGCATTAGTTCTCTAGTAAATTTTCTGCTACCATGAGGAGCCAACACCCGGATCAAATGGTAACGAAAACTGAAGAAAGGCTACACAAGTTCAGTATGTGACTCAATGAAAATTATCATGGCACTTGAGTTCATCTGTTTGTTTCCATGATAGACATAAGATGCATATTGCAGAATCTTCATGTGATCATGTCATGTTTTTTATTCTACCATTTACCTAACAGCTGCAATGACTTAACATCTTAAATTCTCCATGTTTTGTTCTTAAGAGGTGGTGCCGAGGTAGATGTAAAAAAGCTCACAAAGCGACCTGCTCCTCCTCGCTTTGGAAGAAAACTGACTGATGCTCAAAAGGCAAGAATCAGTTTGAAGCGACATTCTTGTTCTTCCTCCTAATTAAATGTTGTCTAGGCTAAAGATGATTACATTCAATTGTTGATCAAGTGAACTTGCATGCAGGCGAGAGCTACACACATTTGCCTTGATTGTGGATACATATACACCTTACAGAAACCTTTTGATGAGCAGGTAAGTACAGCACACATAAAACTTTGTTTCTAAGCTCTTCCTCCCTCCGTTCTATGTAATTTATTATGGTATTGATATCAGCAATTTTCATGGTGGTTGTTAAAAGGGATTTCGTTATGGTCAATATTCCTCATAATTCGGTTTTTGACCGAACTCAACAATGCCCCATGATCTATGTGGTTAGCATCATCTAATGGGACAGACTTAACTCTTATTTATGTAATATTGGTCTCAGCATTAGCAACTTTCTTATGTGGTATTATACTGAGTGATTTCATGATAGTCAATGAATGATATTTGATTCAATGATATTTGTTGAAATCAAATTATAATCAACATGGATGGAGATCTCTTAGAGATAAAATTACATTAAGATATATAAACGATTATAAGTCAGTTTTGTAAGATTAAGTTAGATTTAAATCGATCTTAATTTGTAGAGTGCATTTGTTATTCTCATGTTATTTTATCTTGTGCAGCCGGACACATATGGATGTCCTCAGTGTCAAGCACCAAAGAAGAGGTTTGCTAGATATGATGTTAACACTGGGAGAGCTATTGGTGGAGGCTTGCCTCCTATTGGAGTTATTGTTGGACTTGTGGCTGGTGTAGGTGCTGTAGGAGCTTTGCTTCTTTATGGTCTTCAGTAACACTTTATTCCATCACGTATTTCTTTGTTTTCTTCATTTTCTATTTTCCCAAGCTTTCCATTATTGGAGCTTGTGTCATTGAAACTCCTTGGATATTCATGTCAAAGTTGAATGAAGTTTCTAATGAGTTTCAAAATACTTTGTTTTTTTTTTTTTGAGGGGCCTTTACCAATTTGATGAGCTACATTGATAATATACATGGTCATTTCTTCTAGTAATATATGAAATAATTGTTATCATCTCAATGTAATGAATGCTCTTAATACATTTTCCAATCTTCTTGTGAGATATGAAATCATTGTTATCATCTCAATGTAATGAATGCTGTTAATACATTTTCCAATGTTGTTGGCAATTCTTACAGAGCTTCTAGTTGTTCTTAAAGGGAAAATAGTAAATAATACATAAACTAACAAATAGATTATGAATCTATTAAAAAAAAAATCCATAACCACGGTAGAAAAATAAAACCAGTTTCTTCATAGTAATATAAGAAATATTATAAAAAAAATATAGACAAAGTTATAAAAAATCAGGAAATCAAATATTGTCTTCGATTCGGACACAATACTCTTGTCATCCACGCTTTCAGAAATTCATTACTGTAAGTGGTAGCTCATATTGTTTCAGAAATTTAATGTGTAGTAAGTTCAAGAATTCTATAGAATTCGATCAAAATAGTAACATCCACTTTGAATTTACACCATTAATTGCAGCTTTTTTGCAAATCAGTGGACTTAATGTTTGGTGATTTGTATCCTAGATGTAATTAGGGTCTTGTATCATTCATTATTACGTATTGATAAGGTCACACAGCATCTCGGCTATACTATCTTCATTTTAGCCATATGCTTGTATTCTCATATATAAAATCAACTTATATGAGAATCTCATAATTTCATTTTTACTTCAAGAAAAAAATCCAGCACATTTACCCTTTATTTACTTGAATGGATTTGGAGGAGAGTGATTGAGTGGATTTGAGAGGATTTGAAGATAAATTATTTGTTGTTTATTTGAGTGAATTTGGAAGTAAGTGAAAGTGGATTTGGAAGCAAAGTTTGTGAGAATTAGTGTAGGATTTGATTGATACAGATTAAAAAAATTTACTTCCAAATTCACTCTCACCTAGCTCCAAATCCACTCAAATAAACAACAAAAAAATGTATCTTCAAATCCTCTCCCAAATTCATTCAAGTAAACAAAGCCTTAGTGAAGTCATCAATAAAGGTAATAAAATAGAGATTACTCTTTAAAGAAGGTGTTTTGCGATGGATAGATGAGCTGCTTAAAAACATTTTTTTTACAACATTTTAACATAATCTACGTGTCTTTCTGTGATTGTTCCAAAATTACTCACAATCAACAATAATAATAATAATCATAAACACCACATGTACCAATCACGGAATGACACGTAAATGATGTTAAAATGTTGTCAAAAAAATATTGTTAAAATATCATTATCTTTAAATTGACACACTTTGCAATTTGAGATTTTATGACTAAGCTTGGGAACATCAACAACCCTTATGATGACAGTGTTCTACTCTCTTGTGCCAAAACTGAGTGACATATTCTTTAAGAGAAAAAATAGATTGTTTCGGATTGAGTGAAAAACTTCTTTTTTCATTTTTACTTTGAAAATATCTTGATTAATTGCATTCTTAATCAAGCAATATTTATTTTCAAAAACAACTTCATATCAATTTTTAAAAAAATAGGATTCAATTGAAAAAAAAAATAAATAAATAACTTATTTGAGATTATGAGAAAAAAAAAGACATGAGAAATAATTTAACTTTCTAAATATGAAAACCAAACTTATACCATGCTATCACTTTTCAAAGAAAATATCATTCATTTGATTTCCATGTGATGGTGACACAAAAACATATACTCTTAGTTGAAAATTATTTTTTATGAAAAAATAGTAGTATTTTATTTTTATCCGAGGATTACGTATGTTATAATATTTTAAGGAGTGTCTGTGACATTTCAAAATAACACCAGGTAAAATGGAACAAGTAATAACAGAAATCATATATTTGAATAAAAAAAAAAGAATCCCTAGCCATCAATGCACATGAATAGGCAAAGGTATTTGAAAATTTTCAAATTAAAGTGAACGTGTTGGCGATGATTATGCTTGACATTTCCTTAGAGTTCAAAAACTTTGGAGCATAATACTTCAATTATTCATTTTGGCATTTATTTGGTGGTTACATCTTCTGAATCCGATCTCCGTTTCTAAAATCACAGGAAGATGAAGAGTTGAGGCATGCAAATGTAGCAAATCAAATTGTTACTTAACTGTTTCCAAGTTTTCACCACCATCACTGCACTTCCACCATTTCTGAAACCCACCAGGAGCAGGAACAGGAACCCCCACACTCCACAGTTTCTCAGTGAGGTAATGGCTCGCTTTTGCAATTTCTTTGAAAAAAAAAAACTTTTTGGCTTTTTTGCTTTTTTTAAAACTTTATGTCCTTGTTTTGCTGCTCCTTACCTGTTTGAAGAAATTCCCCAATGTGAAAACCCCGTGTTGTCTTGGGGATTCTGTCTCTTTCTGTACCTTCATTACGCTCTACTGGCTTTCTGCTTAGGAACAGGTTGATGGCAGCTCGTAAGTATTAAGCTAAAATGTATATATGAATAGTATAAAATAAACAGCAATATTGATACCGTGATCATGAAAACTAAGGGAGTAAGCATAGCCCAAAATAGATTGTCCCCTTGCCCTTTACCTTTTGATTGCGAAGCGATGCTCGAGGCGAGTTAACTAGGTCACGTGCTATTCTATATGAAAATAATCAATGACTGTATAACTACTCGGTGATGTTATTATGCTTGATCTCCGGATCTGCTTACAAAGCCTGTTTCAACACTTACTTTCCATATTTTTAGCTTGTTTTAAAATAGTGCAATACCATTTAATAATTTTTCTTAATGGGCATATCCATGTAACAATTCAACTTTAGGATCATCTAGTTACATCTGTCTTTATTAATGGCCTAGAGTAATTATTTGGGGTTACATGCTTTGTGCCTGATGTGGACGTGGATTCTTGTGTTAATGGAAGCACATTTGATCTATACATATTTTTTTGGGAGGGGTGAGGAGGGTGAACTGAAATTAAAAAAGGTTTCATTTCCTAGAAAATCTTCTAAAAAATTATAATTTTCCACCCAAACAAATGAATCCTAAATTGTTCTGTAGGGTGTAACAAGTTTGGTTCGAGATGTAATTTCTTTTTCTGGAAAAAAAAATTCTAAAATTGCCATTTTTGACAGAAACAAATAGAGCCTTAATGATGCACTTAATTGGAACATTTTCCTGTTTATTTTCTCTTTTTGTAGGGTGTTACAAGTTTTGGTTTCGGCGTGTGCTGCTGAGCTGAAATACTTCTATGTAGTTTTCCTTTGGCCTTTTCACAATGTCTCTCTCCTGGTAGTGAGAGCCAGACATGCAAATTGGAATGATGGTGATGATGACTCAAACTTTGAAGACCATTGTATCATCCTACCATGACTTTGACAAGAATTCCCATTTATGTCCTTTGCCTATCAGTCCACCCAGAAGCAGTCAGTGGCGCCAAAGCCGCATTGGAACCTTGGCCATAGCCATTGCAGCGCTTCTCATATCTACTACTGCTTGGCTTTCCCTTGTGTTCTTTGATGCAACTACATGTTGCTTTCACAGTTTAAAGGATCGGGAAAGTAGACCCCACTTTTTCAATTGGAAGAAGTGTGTTTCTCATTTCCATGCGAAAGTTACACCCCCTCCTGCTCTCCAATTTGGAACCATGAAAGATCATCTTCATAATGGTAGCAGTATTGCTGAACAGGAAGGCTTGTCACTTAAACATATTGTTTTTGGCATAGCAGGATCATCTCAACTTTGGAAACGAAGGAAGGAATATGTCAAACTGTGGTGGCGTCCTAATGACATGCGTGGCCATGTGTGGTTAGATGAACAGGTGCTTGAAGAACCTGGAGATGATTTATTGCCTCCTATCATGATTTCTGAAGACATCTCATATTTTCGCTATACTAATCCCACCGGCCACCCTTCTGGCCTTCGGATTTCTCGCATTGTCAAAGAGAGTTTTCGCCTCAGTCTCTCTGATGTGCGCTGGTTTGTCCTCTGTGATGATGATACCATCTTCAATGTGAATAACCTAGTTGATGTCCTCAGCAAGTACAATTCTTCTGAAATGATTTATATAGGTAGTCCCTCGGAGAGCCATTCAGCAAATTCCTATTTCAGTCACTCAATGGCCTTTGGTGGTGGTGGGATTGCTATAAGTCAGCCACTTGCAATGGCACTTTCTGAGATGCTTGACGAATGCATTGAGAGGTATCCAAAGCTTTATGGTAGTGATGATCGACTGCATGCCTGTATATCTGAACTTGGCATTCCACTGACATGGGAGCGCGGTTTTCACCAGGTATTCTGTTAATCCATTTTACTACATTTTATTTTGGTCACATCTTTTATTGCTTTTAATTTATAGTTTCTTTCCATTCTAAGAGAAAGGTAAATTTTCTGATGTACAGTATAAGTATCATCCAGCCATTTTTTTTCATTGGAATTCGTAATGATCAGGATTGATTTTTTATTTATTTCAGTGGGATATAAAAGGCAACGCTCATGGTCTTCTATCGTCTCACCCAATAGCACCATTTGTGTCAATTCATCATGTTGAAGCTGTAAATCCCTTTTATCCGGGCCTGAGCTCTTTAGACAGCCTGAAACTTTTTACAAAAGCCATGAAAACCAATCCCAAAAGCTTTTTGCAGCGTTCCATATGTTACGATCATGCACAACATCTGACATTTTCGGTGTCACTTGGTTATGTTGTTCAAGTGCTGCCTAACATTGTTTCTCCCCGTGAACTGGAGCGCTCGGAGAGAACTTACTCTGCTTGGAATGGTAATAGTGAAGCGAATGAATTTGATTTTGATGCTAGGGAACCGTACAATTCTCTTTGTAAAGGTTCTACTTCTTTCTTCTTGAAAGATACTAGAAGAGAGGGTAATGCTTCTTGGGGTTCATATGTTCGGGGTAGAGATAAAGATGATTTCAAAAAGAGAATTTTATGCTTTCCTCACTTTCCTCCTATGCGCAATGTGGGAGAGATCCAGGTAGCTGTGCAACCTTTGAGCAAGAATTGGCATCTGGTGTGTTACATAGCACTTAAGCATTCTATATGATGATATTACCGGTTTTCAATATTAATGTCATTTCTTGATTCCACTTTTTTCTTGTCTTAGGTTCCACGACGTCTCTGTTGCCGGCAAAGCCAAGCTGACAAAGAAATACTCCAAATCTCAGTTGGAGAGTGTGGGAAGGGAACTTTTACTTCTGTCTACTGATTATGGTTTGTACATGATTTAGCCTTTCATAGCGAATAGCTGATTCCATGCGGCATTTTTAATCCCATGAATTGAGATTTCTTAAACTTTTTTTTACAAAGTAGACACTTGAACTTGCATATGGTAGAGAAAAGATTCCTAACAGTATGCAATATGTTTTTTTTTTTATAAATAGTATTTTTAACAAGGTAGATACCTAGTGTATTTTAAGATGGAAGTTATAACTTTGTTAAAATACATTTTCTAAAATATAAGGAATGTATGTTAATAAATCCATATACACATACATACATACAAAAAAAAAGCAGGTAGAAATTCTTCTTGTCATGATAAATGAAAACAAAAAGTATATACCATCAAATTACTTTTGAATAAGCAGGATTCACTAAAAAAAAGGTACGTGATTCTTTGAAGTATGTGATCACTAACAAATTTTTAATGTTGATCATCCTTATATATCAAAATATTAAGGGTAATTATGTGGAGAGTCAATTTTGTTTGATTATTCTTGCTTGCTTGTATGAAAGCCACACATATAAAAGACTCCCTTAACCAGTAAGTTTCATATTGATACTTGGCTAACCAAGCAAATGAATTAGGTGGAATATGTGTTCAAATGCTTGACCACTACGTCAGTCTGCTTAGTCTTTTTTAAACTTATTCTTCTGAGGGGTTATACTTTTACTAAAGGAAAAAAAAAATATTGAAAGAAAACAGTACATAACATTGCAGATTCAATATTACACGCATACTAATATTCTAACTAATGATGTTACATCTCATATATGTTCTTGATCTAAGCTTAAATCATAGATAGATGTCTGAGTTACAAGAAGATGATGGTCTACTTATTGGCGCAATCAGTTGGCTTAAAAGAAACTAACTTTTTGTCTAAATAAAATCCAATCAGAATGTTTGATTGAGCAAAATTGCCAAATATATATTCTCCGTCAGTAGTGCCAGCCATTGCAAAGCAAAATACTCCATCCTTTGGTGCGATGAAGGTTTGTATTGGCATCAATGGCACATCTGCCCCTTCAAAATGAGCTATCAAGGGTGGTCCTTCTAAGTTTGTCTCACTTCTATAGCAAAGTTGTGTGTCCAAGTCTGGGTCATCAGCAATGGGTAACAGTCTACTCTGCACCTTCAATTCCTCCACTAAACGGTCATAAAGTTCTTGTGGTAAATATGTTGCTGGTGTACCTGAATCAATCATTATATTTCCCTTGGCAAGCATTTCTGAGGAATTAAAAGGCACAAATGTGTCTCCAACGCTTATGCCTTCTAGTGTGACCAGATAAGAAGATTGACCTTCCTCATATACCAAAGGAGTTGTGACTACTCCTTCACCAGAAACATCACTGGCATCACCAAAACTAATGGTACCTGAAGTCTGAGGGTCTGCATGAAAAGGAACCAGGCACTGAGAAAACCTTCTACTTCCATAAAGGCTACCAATTTGTGAAACAAGTGACAAAGGTCCCCCACCAAGACCAATGATCCCCATGTCGTTTTCATTGAAAATTCCAGAATTACTGTGTCCACACCCAAATATAATGTCTCCAACAACAACTGATTCTTCATCGGTGGAACTGAATGTGATAGTTTCCCTTGCAAGCACCCCTTTTGTTACTGAAGAATCAGCATAAGCATAACTATATGCACACAGTTTTTGAGGAGAGCACGAATCACCAAAGAGTGAATTACACTCTTCTGAATTGCATGGAACAGGGGTGTATGTTTTGGATCTTAGAGGTTCAAACATTGGGCTTTTTTGCTTATAACAACCTTGGCAAGGTGTACATTGTGCCCACACGAGGTCGCTGCCTGTATCAACCAAACCATATACATCCACCGGTGGTGTTCCCAATGTGAGCTTCATGAGATAGTCACCATTGTTGGATGTGACTCTAGTGAAGGGACCATTTGGGGCGTATGATTTCTTGGGAACTTGGTAAAATGAGCCAAGTCTATGCATATGAAGTTCATCTGATTTGTAGGAGGGAGAATTTGGTGTGTTGTGGCGGATTAGTTGAACACTGAACCCGGATTTGTAAGCTCCTGTTAATGTTTGACATAAGAATGTATACAGTACAAAAAAGCAAAGATGGAAGCAGAGAATGTTGGCCATGAAGTTTTTAGCAAGGGACAAAATCATGTTATAAGTAGAGAATTCATTTCATATATATATATATAAGCGTAACATTCATGTGAGTGTGGAAGTTGGTGGGGGTTAGTCACAAGAAATAGACAGTAGCCACATGTGAGTGACTTCTGTAGCTTTTTTGACATATTTGGGGGAAATTTGCCTGGATATTATGAAAATTGACAAGTAAAAATAGATATTACTGGGAGTAAGTTTTGTGGATGAATGACGACTTCGAATGACTTCTCACATTAATGAAGTAAAAACAAATTCATATGAAGATTGTACAATCACTTCCAATATAAGATTTTAAGCTAATTGGTTACGTTCAGCGTACCAAACAAATGCACGAGACAATATGGGTTAACGTTTGACGACAAACTTTATGTAGGATTTACGAGTAGCTATGGTCCGTGAGCCACTAAGGTATAAATTATTTGATTTAATGTAAAGAGATAAAATTCAACAAAATATTGATATAATTCAATTGTCTTCACATGCATATGTATTTCAATGGATTGATTTTAATGAATTATGTTAAAATATGTATAATATATGCATAAATATATTATTTATACGTATACATTGAAAAAAAAAAAAAATATATATATATATATATATATATATATTTAATTAATTTATGGAAAAAAAAATTCAAATAAACAAGTATTTAACTCAAAATATTTGATTTATTAATTAATTAATATTACAAGATAATATAATTTGATTTAAACCTAAACCCTAAAGCCAATCAAAACGATTGATTGAGCAAAACTGCCAAATATATAAAATTCATCACTAGTTGCAGGCAAAGCAAAATACTCCATCTTTTGGTGGGACAAACAAACTCATATCGTGAAAAGTATATAACTTTTTTTCATATTTATAAACAATTAAAAAATGTAAGTCTATTTTTTTTACTAAAACAGTAAAGCTTACAATATCCCACTAAAAATGATAAATAGTGAAAATCACGGTTTCTTATTGTTACGCACAATTTAATTTTGATTTCAATGAATCAAAAGAATTTTAACTTCATATAGTGTAGTATTTAATTTTAGGAAGAAAAATATTTATTGAGTCTTTAATTAACTTTAATGTTATAATTAATTATCGCTTATTGTAAAAAGTAATTATATCTTTATATTAATTATAATGAATATTATTCTGTTTTATATTTAGTTTTTTAGTAGGGATGAGATGACTTATTCTGAACCTTTTAATTTCAAATTAATTGCTCAAATTAAATAACAATAATAAAGTGTATTCAATTCCTATTTATAAATAACACTCCTTAAATATGTGTATCGGCAATGATATATATTGCAATTTAATATTTTTTTTCTATTTTCCTAATTGATAAATTATATATATATATATATATATATATATATATATATATATATAACTCAACAAAATAAAAGAGATGGAAATATATAATTATTAGTCCTTCTCATTGACATGACATTTATAAAAATAAAAAATCATATTACATAGAAAAATAAAAAATTCAGATCATGAAGAAGCATATAAAACAGTTTTTCTTCCTCTTAGCTTTGCAATTTTCTTCTCGTATTTTTTTTTTTCATTCATATCTCACAAATTTTTTCAATCAGTTTTAAAACTAATTCACCTTAGCTATTAAAACAAATTAAGTATAAGAAGCAGCTACAAATAATATTTTCTTCTTAAACATTTTCATTGAAACTTGTAAATTTTTTAACCAAATGCATAATTTATAATGCAAAAAACTAAAGCTTCTTAAAAGATAGACTATTAAATAAAATTTATCAATATTAAAAACTTTATAATAAATAATAACTCAACGAATTTCATTTTTAAAGATACTATAGAAAAGTTTCTGGTCAACAAGAGTTTATCTTTAACCATGGTATAGGATGAGATATATTTTATTTATTTGATACAAACAATAAAATAATTATAAAAGAGTCAACTTTTATAGTTTTTCAAAAAGAAAAAAGTATGAAATGATAATATGATATGAATGTAAGAAAATCATATGTAAAAGGATCATTTTTCATTATCTTTCTGAGATAGAAAATAACAATCCAATTTTATTTCTAAAAGGCAAGCTTCAAGCTTCAATCTTGAATATACTTGTTTGATCGACAATTTCGTGTCCTACAAAAACAAGCACAAGTTTCTTTTCTTTTCTGTAATTTGCCTAAGAACAAGAAGCAAACTGAAACCTTTGAAGATTCTACGAGTTCTTGGTACAATCTGTTGGCTTGAAAGAGACAACTTTTGCTTCTAGATCAAACCCAATCAGATAATTCGACTGAATAAAGTTACCATAAATTCCCACATTACTACTGCTGTTGGCGAACCCCAAGCAGAAAACAGAATCTTTTGGTGAAACGAAGGTTTGAAATGTTTCCAGTTTTACATCAGCACCTTCAAAATGAGCAGTTAGCATAGGACCAGGAAGATTATTCTTTGTTCGATAGCAAAGTAGGGTACCCAAATCAGGATCATCCACGACAGGTTTCATGGCAACCTGGTTCTTCACTTCAGCCACCACACGATCATATAACTGTGTCGGTAAGATAGTCGGAGGTGTTCCAGAATCAAGAAACATGTTACCTTTTTCGACATTTTCTGAAGAACCATCATAGTGCAAATACCTGTTTCCGACACTGATACCTAGTAAGGTCACAAAATAAGGTGTTTTGTCTTCCTTTGTAACCAAAGGTGTCGAAACAACACCACTCCCAGATACCTTACTCCCTCTGCCAAAACTCATTCTGCTAGAAACACTCACATCAGTTTGGAAAGGCACCAAGCACTGTGAAAACATTTTGGCTCCAAAGGATGAACCCATTTGAGAAATCAATGATGCTGGGCCTCCTCCTAGGCCTATCAGACCCATCTCATGGTCGTTGAAACCTTGTTTTGAGTCGTTGTGTCCACAACCAAACACGATGCCCTTAAGGGGAACGCTTGCTCCTGTGGTTGAAGTGAACGTCACTGTTTCTTGTGCCAAAACTCCTTGTGTCGAGGAACCATCTCCGTAGGCGTAGGTGTAGTTGCATTGCTTCTCAGGAGAACAGACACCCGTGTCGAGTAGATGACACAAGTTTGAGTCGCATGATATGTTTTTGTACGAGGATGATTTTATGGGATCAAACATGGGGTTTAGTTGCTTGTAGCAGCTCTTGCATGGGACGCATTGTGTCCACGTGAGATCGCTGCCCGTGTCTGCAATGCCGTAGATTTTGAACGGTGGAGTTCCGATGGAGAGTTCCATGAGATGCTCACCAAGGTATGCACTCACTGGGGCTTGTGTTGTTGACATGGCTGAGAAACCTCTCAGCCGTTGACGGAATAAGGCTTTGGGAGAGGTTCTTCGAATGAGGTTAATGCTGAATCCTTCGTCTGTGTTTCCATGGATGGCTGAGAAAAGAAGAAACACCACAGAAATGATGATGGCTACAAGGAATCGATCAAATGATTTCAGATAATAAGAAGCCATTATTAGAGTTATTATTCACAAAGTATAATAAACTTTTGTATTTATAGAGGGAATAATGGTACGATCATAAGAATAATTTTTGTGTGTCAATAAATAAATAAATATATATATATATATATATATATATATATATATATTATATGACTATAATATTTTAACAATTATTTTTAACCATTTTTTGACAACATATTATATCTCACTATTTTTTTAGTTTGTATATTTGAAACAGATCAATCATAAACTATTACATATATTATTGTATTAAAAATATATTTTTCATATATATACCTATATATTTTTGTACAGGTGTTCGGTTATGAAGGTGTTCGGTTATGAATGTTTAGGTTGTGTGTAGTGCTAAAAGCTCAAGAGAAGTTGTAATGGTTAGAAAATTGGTGATATTAAAATTTTGAAAAATAACAGTCAAATAAAACAACATTTTAGAAAGTATAGTTACTGTTTTCATCCATGACATTAACTTTTATATTTATTAGCTTTAAAAATTTCGAAGTTGGGTTTATTCAATAAATTTTAAATTTATTGAATAATTTATGACATTGAATGTAAACAATAATAACACTAATTAATACAAATACATAAGCAAAATTATTATTTAATTCTACATTTAATACTTTGAAAATGACTAATTTTTAAGAAGATAAAATTCAGATAACTCAAATCAATTGCTTATTAATGTGAATATTATACTGTTACATAATATATATATATATATATATATATATATATATATATATATATATATATATATCCTAAAATATATAATTAGATGATAGAAGTTTATTTTTTTATTTTATAATAATTTTGTATTTTAAAAAAATTGAGTTTATCTTAATTCTATGTAAGTTTTATTCTTTACTAAGGATTTGGGTGTTTTGTAAAAAGAGAGATAATTTTATCATATACAATATTTTGTGTCGATAGAAAAGTTTGTAGGGAAACATTTTCTATGTGGTCCTGAATGTCACCCATGTCATGACACCCCATAAGACAGTCCAGTGTGCTTTTATTGGGCTTCTAAAATTTTATCAGAGAAATTTATTATTGTACATCCATATTTTCTTCCTGCACCTCCATACGTCTAACATAAAAGACCATTTTGCTCCTATATTATTTCAATCTTCCTCCTCCAGGTACACCTCTCTCCTCCTTCTTTTTATCTTTTCTTCTTCTCACTTTCTTCACAAAAAATGAAAGAAAATGTTGGAAATCTCAATGGAAAAGATGAAAAAAATATGAATAGACACATTGAGTTAAGTTTCTCAAAATGTCCGTTGTTTCAGTTATGAGGTCGAGTCGCTTCTAACACTTTCACGATTTGCTCTTCTTTGTCGTTCGGTCTTGTTCCTGGATCTCCTTCTTCACTCTTCCGTTGGAAGGTGCATCTACTAAAGGTCCTCTGATACTTAAGTCAGTAGATAGTTCGTTCAGTAGGTTTAAATCAGCAATAAATGCACAATAAAATGTCCATTCCCTATCTCCAACTTCTAACCCGTATTTATAGTTTTTGTCTAAACCTTAATCACTACCCAATCCGAATCCAAACACTCTAATTCCTTCTTACCTTAAACCTTACATAAATACGATTACGCAATTTCGCTAATCGTCTCTACATGTTACCGTCCGACCGGTTGACTCACTATGCTTTTATGTCCATCCGGTCCATAGAGTGCAACTGCATTTTCTTTAAATCTCTCCCTCTCTTCTTGCATAGCCCCTTTCCTAATCCAAGCATAACTCCCTACTGCACTTTTCATTTTCTTTGCTTATCAAACATATATAATTTGGAATACTTTATTTTTTCAGATTATATAATTCGAAATACAAAATTTTATATTTGGATCCAACAGTTTGAAATGTAAAAATTAAAAATGCATTCCGAATTATATGATTCTTAATATAAAATAGAAAATATTTTTTTATCAAAGTTAATAAAATTAAAAGATATTTTAAAAAATTATAAAAAAATAAGTATTTAGGTTTAGAATATATTTTAAAGTTATTTTTATTTTTTTTCTCAATTTTAATGAAATATTTTTTTATATGCTAATAAAAATTATAATACATCACTTTAACAAAATCACATTATCAATACAAAGCATAATTTTTTTTTTGTCTTTTTGAACTTTATTCTACTTTAGATGGTGATAAATAAAATTCATGATAATAATATTGAATTATTATATTATAATAACTAAAATGCTTTTATACAATTACGGTGCTAAGATTATAATTATAATAATGAATTAAAAATTAAAATAAAAATATATAAAAAATAAAAAAAATTATATGATAAATAAATAATAAATAAAAATATTAAAAGGAAACAAAAATGGACAAATGTGTATTTTAGAAACAATTTGATATGTCATACAACGAAATCATACAAAGAAAAAAATATATACTGGCGATAAAAAAATATCTTGAACATCTAAGAAAAATTTTCCAAATATCAAACTCGTTGAATTATTAGAAGTCAACGAAAATTATTTTAGTAAAATAAAAGTTCTTCAAATCAAACAAAAATTGAGAATTAAATAGAATAAAAAATACAATTTTTTTTAATATTTTCTTCTATCATTTCAATGTAACATGCATAGTAATTCCTTTGAATGTGATACTACTTCATACATTAGATGAAACTATCGTTATGACATATATATCATCCAAAACTAAACAATACGGTATGTAAATATTTATAACTTATGCATGAATTGTATATTTGATCAATTCTATATTATATATCATTATTTTAGATATTCAATCATCTTTCATGTATATCAACCAATGAAATGATTGAAATAAGAGGATAATTAACAAGTTATTTCTTCACACATGTACAAGTTTATGTTTTGATTATGTTTTTTTTTTTCTTTTAAGTTAGATTTTTTTTTTATTAATTAGATATTTATTTTGACTTTATAAAATGTGTTAGATAAGTTATATTTTCATTATCAATTTTACCATTATTAATATAAATAATATTATTCTTTAAATTTTATAACTATTTTTTAAATATTAATTAACTATGTATGATAAAATTATAAAACTATTTATTTCTTCAACAATATTGATAAACATTATTTTTTTTTATCTTTAAAAAATTGAATACACATATATGACTATAGACATGTGTTTGCATGAGTTATAATTAAAAGAATTCCTCAAAAAGTAAGGTTCAAATAGAGTATACAATTATATTAAAAATATCTAAATATTATAAATAATAACTCATAATGAGTTTCATGGTCAAAGAGGTATTAGAAAACCACTCTCCAACAGGAGTTCCATTAAGGAACTAGGAAATAAAAATCACAAACAAAATTTGCATTTACAATATTTTCAAATGAAATCATTCACAAAATTTTGATCTTTAATACATTCCTTTGAAATGCTTACTTTCTGATTAAACAAAACAGGTTTTTTTTTTTTATTTTGTTTTTTCAAAAATATTTTTTTAACAATTTTTTTTGACAATACTTTTATAATAACTAATATAACTATTCGTAATTGGTCTGTTTTAAACATTGTGAATCAAATAATGGCACATAATTTATAAAAAATTGTTAAAAATAATTATTAACTTGTAATCGTCTTTTTTAGCTACAGGAGAGCAAATACATATCTTAAAACTTTGGAAAAACATAACTTTAAGTAAAATCCATACTGATTATTCAAGTGTTTTTGGTACAATCTGTTGGCTTGAAAGAGACCACTTGTGCTTCTAGATCAAACCCAATCAAGTAATTTGATTGAGCAAAGTTACCATAAATCCCCACATCACTACTGGTGTTGGTGAACCCCAAGCAGAAAACACCATCTTTTGGTGAAATTAAGGTTTGAATTGGTTCCAACGTTACATTTGCACCTTCAAAATGAACAGTTAGCATAGGACCAGGAAGATTATTCTTTGTTCGATAGCAAAGTTGCGAACCCAAATCAGGATCATCCACGGTAGGTTCCATCGCAACCTGGTTCTTCACTTCAGCCACCACTCGATCATACAACTGTGTTGGAAAGATAGTTGGAGGTGTTCCTGAATCAAGAAACATGTTACCTTTTTCGACATTTCCTGAAGAACCATTATAGTGCAAATACGTTTCTCCCACACTGATACCTAGTAAGGTCACAAAATACGGTGTTTTATCATCCTTTGCAACCAAAGGTGTTGAAACCACTCCTTCTCCTGATACCTTACTCCCTTTGCCGAAACTCATTATGCTATGAACATTCACATCAGTGTGGAAAGGGACCAAGCACTGTGAAAACCTTTTGCCTCCAAAGGAACGACCCATTTGAGAAATGAACGACACTGGCCCTCCTCCCAGGCCTATGATACCCATCTCATGGTCGTTGAAACTACCTTTGTTGTCGTGTCCACAACCAAACACGACATCTTTAAGGAGAACGCTTGTCCCTGTGGTTGAGGTGAGTGTGACTGTTTCCTGTGCCAAAACTCCTTGTGTTATGGAGGCAGATGCGTAGGCATAGGTGTAGTTGCATTGCTTCTGAGGAGAACACACGCCTGTGTCGAGTTTATGACACGAGTTTGAGTGGCATGATATGTTGCTGTAGGAGGATGATTTAATAGGATCAAACATGGGGTTAAGTTGCTTGTAGCAGTTGTTGCATGGCACACATTGGGTCCATATGAGATCACTGCCCGTGTCTGCAATGCCATAGATTTTGAATGGTGGTGTTCCAATAGAGAGCTCCATGAGATAGTGACCAAGGTAAGCACCCACTGGAGATTGTGGAGTTTCTGACATGGTTGATAAACCTCTTACACGTTGGGGAGAGGTTTTTCGAATGAGGTTAATGCTGAATCCCACATCGGTGTTGCCATGGATGGGTGAGAAATATAGAGGAATAAATACATGGGAAATGAT